GAAAATGGATAGGAGGAGATTAAAGAAGAATTCAAGAACTATGGACGTTAGTAACCATTTTATTAATATGAAGTGGGAATTTAGTTAATTTTATTTAATTTTATAATTATTTATTATTATTAGAAAAAAAAAAGAAGAGCTCAAGCAGCAAACTATTTAATAGAAAATAATGATAAATACATTCGTAGATACCCAGAGAAAGAGCTTGTATGAATTCTTAAAGAATCTGGTTATCATTCAAAGGAGTGAGAGAAAACTGATTCTGATGAAAAAAATGATATAATTGGTGAAGAATCTGCTGTTAAAGAAAAGACAATGTCAATTCATATATATGAAACATGGTGGTGTTCTTCTGCAGTATGTACTATATATTTATGATTATTTTATTTATTTTATTTATTAATAGTAATTATTTATTAAAATTTCAGCATTTATTACATGATCAGATTGATCCGACCGTTAAAAAACTGAGGAAAAAACCTCGAATTCTAAAAATTAAAAGAGTTCAAAGATGTAAAACAATAACAAGTATGCTTCCAGTGGATACACCAAATTGGTGTCTGACCGATGAGGCTCTTAAAAGATTTAATCATTCAACAAATGAAATTCCAATATATGATTATAATACTGATCAAGATGAAGAAAGTGACAAATATCATAACAATGAATATGAAAATAAAAAAATAAAAAATAAAAAAAACAAAAAAAGCAAAAAAAGGGGGGCAAAAAAACATAAAAATAATTAAATATTATGATTAAATACTTTTATTAGGTTATTCTTATCAATTGGCATTTATACGAATTGATTAAAATAAAGTTGTATGTAAGATTAATTTGAACATTCAATTCAATTAATTTTAAAATAAAATATGTATATTTTTAATATTTTTGTCAGTTATTTGTGATATCAGAAAAAATAAAAAAAAAATTGAAAATAAGGGGTTTTATATGAATAAACAATTATCTTTAATATTAAAATACTTTTTTTAGTAATAATTTTAATATACCTCTTTGGATTATATAATACAAATACAATAAATAAATATTTTGCATATCGGTACCCGATATGTGTAAGATTGATTCAGTGTTACATATCAGTGACTAATCGTTTAGATAGGGAATCTGATTTTTGGGCATATTTAATATGTTACATATCGGATACCCGATATGTAATAAATGTCCAATATGTATCTGATTAGTCACTAATATATAGGTACCTGATATGTACCTGATAGCATCAATTTTGACTAGTGATATGTCACCATTTTTTTCGTGTTGCAACTTATTCTCAATCGGCCACCTATCATATAACTCTTATATCACCTCACTGGTACCTTTAGCCTAATATTGAACAAGAGACTCTTTTACAACAAATGTCGGCCATTACATTATGTTCCACAATCAATTCAGAAGAAAATCTTCCTATCACTAATGGTACATTCAAACATCTATTTTCCATTTGATCTATGTTATGTAATTCCCGTTTAACAGCATAACCAAATAAAGTTATATATGCTGAATTGTTTGGATTATCAAAAAAAGTTATTGATTCGGCTATTAAAGCTGATATGTACTGAGAGCTGTCTGATATGTTTAAAACATTTTTTTATAAAGTACAAACAAAAATTGATGAAAATCAGCGAACAAATGAAGATTATATTACCTACGCCAAGAATCCAAATATTACCAAACGTAAAGGGCGTTCACCAAAAAGGTTGCAGTCGAATGTTGAAAAATCCCTCATTAAGAATAAACATGTATTAAGAAATAGCTTACAGATCAATGTTTATAATGATGAAAATGCAGAAAATGTAGAGGGTAGCAGCAAAGGGTGTAGATGTGAAAGATGCAAACAGTACGGACATTATATTACAACTTGCCCTTCAGTGTCTTAAGGTACATTATTCATTGAGTTTGTTAGTTTGTTGTGTTTGTTGTGATAACGTTTGTTAATTTTGTCATTTTTACTATTTTTGTTAGGATCGTTAGGACGTTAGGCGTTATTAAAATAGGTTGTTAGAATCATTATATCAATAGGTTCGTTAGGATTTAACTCCAAATAAATAGAACCTTATTCTACTGCTATTTTAGATATGTTAAATATCCTAAAGTTGAACTTATAAAAGTGTTCATTAGAGTTCGTTAAAGTTCGTTAAATTTCAAAGTATTTTAAGTATTTTAAAGTTCTTTAGATTTTCATCGGAGTTATAATTTTTTGATGATTTTATTAATGAGCGTCCTTATCCTAGACCCCCGGTTCAGGTTTCTTATTCTAGACCCCGGGGTTCAGGCTTCTTATCCTAGACCCTTCTTAAATATGATTGGTTTAATCAGCCACTGAAATCCATTGGACAAGACTTATTTTTGCATAACATTTATCTTAGAAAATTTTTCACGATGTTACTGTATACACGCGTAACAACCATAACATTCATCTTAGAAAAATTTTCATAAATTTTTTTATAATATATACATTAATACGCGCGTAACATTTTTATCAGCATAAATTTTTTTTTATAATATATACATTATAAATACGCGCGTAACATTTTTATCTTAGAAATTTTCATAAATTTTTTTATAATACTTATACGCTAATACGCGCATAACATTTATAGAAATTTTTCGAGATTTTTAAATTAATTTTTTTATTAAAGCAATATTTCACAACGAGATACGAAGTATGAGCATTTTTCTTGGAATATTTTATGACAAAAAATTAAACTAAACCAAATATTAGAAGTGTTTATCAAATATTTGACAACTGGATAAAGAATTATCTATTATATTATTATTTATTCTCTCCTTACAAAATAATCTTGTATTAAAAAAAATACCATTATTACTTATTAAAGTGAAAATATTTCACAAATTTCCATTGAAATTTTGTAAATACGAGTATTCAAACAATTTTATTTTCAACATACCAACCAAAGCCAATTAATTTAATCAGAATGCTAAAATTATACCATGAAAATCTACAAAAAGCACGTACATGTTAGTAAAATCACAAACTTTAGTTGAAAAAAGTTTCAAACAATACATACCGTAATAATTTAATCCAAAACTCAAAGAAACCAGAATAAACTTACCTATTGCAAGTGTTAAAGCGTAATTATTAGAGAAAGAACACTTTGTATTTATTAGATTTAAAATTTTTGATAAAAAAGATTTTTTATTGTTCTAATAAACACTATTATGAAAATAATGGTAATAAAAAAATATTTATTATAAAAAAAAAAGAAAAATAATTTGTGTAGAAAAAAATAATATGAAGAAAAAAACCAAATGAAAGAGCAGGTAAGAGAGAGAGTGAGCGTAGCGTTTATTTCGTGTGAAAAAAAAAATGGTGGTAAATAAACAAATGAGGCTGATAATGATCAGCTGTGCCACAAGGTCTAAGATAAGAGGTCTGGACCCCCCAGGTCCAGGATAAGAAGCCTAAACCCCCCGGTCTAGGTTAAGTTTTCTCTTTATTAATTTATTTGTCAGGTTTAAATCGCGTTTTTGTATTGTCACGTGATTTACATTAATCACGTGATCCGTGTTTCGCACACTAGTGTACAAATAGAAATAATCTAATTAGTATTATATAAATATCTTAGCTTCTAGTTATTCAATTTGAACAAACTTTTTTTGTTTTGTAAAGCTAGATTTATAGAACTAAATGAGTGCTATAAATTAAAAAAAGTTTATTAAAATTGGATCACTAGAAGTCAAGATAATTGCATTATAATAATTATTATAATGTAAATACAAATATCTTAGCTTCTAGTGATTCAATTTGAACAAACTTTTTTTTGTTTTGTAAAGCTAGATTTGTAGAGCTACATAAGAGCTATAAATTAAAAAAAGTTTATTAAAATTGGATCACTAGAAGTCAAGATAATTGCATTATAATAATTATAATAATGTAAATACAAATATCTTAGCTTCTAGTGATTCAATTTGAACAAACTTTTTTTTGTTTTGTAAAGCTAGATTTGTAGAGCTACATAAGAGCTATAAATTAAAAAAAGTTTATTAAAATTGGATCACTAGAAGTCAAGATAATTGCATTATAATAATTATATAAAAATAATTAAATTATTTACATTTATATTTAGATATATAAATGTCACGTGATATATATAGAATTTTGCATCACTTCAGCCATGGAGCTCACCATACCCTATTTGCAATGGAAAACATGGGAATTATGGATTACATAGCTCGTGGTATTGCAAAAATGGGAATTATGAATTACATAGCTCGTGGTATTGCAAAAATGGGAATTAATTCCCTTATAATCCTAAATTAGCGAAATTGTATTTCCAGAATAAGTTGAAATATTATCTTACCTGCAATACTTCAAGCAATAAAATCAAGTTCACAATTGTGGCTTAGACCGGATATGTGGACTGATCACCTGAAATGCGCAGTATAATATCAGACACCTATCAGCTGAATCATGATTATGTAATATATACGTCAGGTTGATGTTATATTTATCATATAAAATAGAAAATTTTATTTCTTAAAAGTATTTCTACAGATCTATTATCAAAAAATATCCTGTAAAAAATGGAAGCAACTATTTATACTTTTGATGCCAATGGTATCCCTACTGATCCCCAAGTTCTCACAATCTATAACGGTTTGAGTAGAGTCCAAAGAGCTAGGTATATTACTATCACTAATGATCAGTTAAGAAGCGATATTTTGTATGCAATTGCAGAAGAAAAGAAAAAACCGGTATGTTTGCTTAGATAATGTACATTTGCCTTTAAACTTTTTACTGAGATTTATTATAAATGATAGTGGTGGCGTCGCTTAATTAATTTATTTCGTTAGCGACATTATCTCAATCTTGTTTATACTGTAATTAATTTACATTCTGTCATTGGTTTTAATGTATAAAGCCATTTTTAAAGACAAGACAGTGATCAAGATTTTATTAAATGCTGGGACAATTACAAGCCTAAACAAGATATTATCCTTTACCAATTATATAATCTAAATTGTGATCATATTAATAATAGTAATAACAGAAAGATTGTTTAATAAGTTTCAAAACATATTATTTATCATTATTCCAATCATTATTGGGATAGTGTTGGCGGTAGTGGGAGCTGAAAAGCTTAACTTGAACATTGCTAATAAATACCTCAATTTCTTTTGTAAGAATTGGAATATTATTTGCGGAAAGTTCTATATATTATTTTAGTGTAATCCGTTAATAATAATGATGGTGAGGTTAGATCTTGAAAGATGCCATTGCCTACGTTTACTCAATGTTGTCTATTTTCCATATCTCAAGCATTTTAAGACTGTCCCATACTATGTTTCATTTCGCTCTGAAGTGATGTAATAATTCTACTGATTGATTCAAAATCAGTTGCAATTTAAGTAAAATTATTATGGTAAACCTATTTGACTTTGTTATATTTTCCAGACATATTATTAATTATGAAGATGATATTTTGTACTTCCGTTACATAGTTAGCAATTTTTGTGGTAAGATCATTATTAATTTTTAGTTCTGATCTTGCTGATTTGTTCAGCGATAGTTTAGTGCAGAACCTCTATACTCAACTACTTATGTATAGTAACAATTGATTGATTATAAATTTCTAAAAAAAAAATTTTTTATATTAAAGTAAAAAATTTAACCGATAATTTTTATAGATATGATCATTAGCTTTAAAAATTATCGGTTATTTTTTTTCTAAATTAAATTTTGGCTAAGTTTTAGCTGTTTAAAAATCTGTAATTTAAATATACTGACAAAATTTAGTTAAAATTGAGACTAGTCTAATTTTTGCATTACAGATCTTTTTTAGCCACATTTAATGTAATATTAATTATTATTTTACTTCAGATTTTTTTTTCAATATGCTAAGAAGAAAAAAAAGTTCTAATATTGCAAAAAAAAAAAATTAATAAACAAAATTATTTAAGTATAGGTTAATTTAATGTTATAAATAATGATATTTAAAAGACAGTTCAGATGATAAATTTATAAACAAAAGAATTCAAAAATTAAGTAATTTTACTTTAATTTAATCAAAAAATGCATATAATAAAATATAAATCTCATTATCATGTACCTGATTCATCAATCATCAGTTTATAATGAAATACAATAAACAAATATATTATATAAATTTTTATATCATATAATTAATAAAATCCTAATTTCTGATTGGCTAATATATGTATCACGTGATGCTTACATAATCTAAAAAATCGAGACTTTTTTTTTATTTTTTAAATAAATTCCTTTTAACAAATAGAGTTTAATTCTTTTTATAAAATTAAAATTCAATCATAGAATCAAATTTTATTTAAATTTTTTTAAGTTCCTATTATAGAGGTTCTGCACCGTAGTGTTGATTCTAATTTCATGAGAGTTTGTTTCATCAGCTTTACGTCCCACTATATGGTGATGAATTTTATACATAAGTGGATATTTTTAGAGATTGTGGTATTCCTAAATCTGATTACCTGAAATGCGCAGAAGATATTCGGTAAAATTTTTGCTGAGTCTTTCATCAGGTTGTTTCTTTTTTCTAAACCCGTATCATATATTGCAGGTAGATCCCATATTTCTATTGGCTAGAAGTGAGAAAAGTCTTCACAGTTATTATATGATATAGCATATATTACAAGTTATAGTAAAACTCACAATTTATTTTCACATGTATTTTTTTTACACATATTCCCCTATGATGTAATAATAACCGATCATAAATAAAAAGAGAAAATTATTTTTTTACTAATTGCTTATTTATTATACCTAAAGCTTCGCATGAGCCGAGCCGGCTCATGAGCTGGCTCGAGCTTTTCAAGCTGAGCTAAACTGAGTCATGATTAAATTGGCTCAGTGGCTCATGAGCCAGCTCGAAAAGAGCTTGAGCTGGTAATAGGCTTGGCTCAAAAAGCTCAAGCTGGTAATAAGCTCAGCTCAAAAGGCTTGAGCTGACTTGTAAGTTATCATACAAAAAACGTTGCGAAACATTTTTGTATTATAATATATTAAAAAAACGTTTTGCAACATTTTTTTCGATATTCTAATAAAAAACGGTGCGAAACGTTTTTTTGTAATAATATATTTAAGAAAAAACGTTTTGCAATGTTTTTTTTCAATATTTTAATAAAAAACATTGCGAAAACGTTTTTTCAAAATATTATATTTAAAAAAAACATTTCGCAACATTTTTTTTGATATTTTTAATAAAAAAATGTTGCGAAAACATTTTTTATTAATAATATATTTAAAAAAATGTTTCGCAACGTTTTTTTTGATATTTTAATGAAAATGTTGTGAAATGTTTTTTTCAAAGTATTATATTAAAAAAATGTTTCGCAACATTTTTTTTTAATGTTTTAATTAAAAACCAGCGTGAAACATTTTTTCGTAATAATATATTTAAGAAAAAAACATTTCGTAACATTTTTTTCAATATTTTAATAAAAAACGTTGCAAAAACGTTTTTTCAAAGTATTATATTTAAAAAAACGTTTTGCAACGTTTTTTTTCAATGTTTTAATAAAAACGTTGCGAAAACATTTTTTTCAAAGTATTATGTTAAAAAAAAATGTTTCGCAACATTTTTTTCGATGTTTTAATTAAAAACGTTGTGAAAACGTTTTTTTCAAATATTATATTAAAAAAAATGTTTTGCAACATTTTTTTCGATGTTTTAATTAAAAAATGTTGTGAAAATGTTTTTCTTAATAATATATTTAAAAAAAAATGTTTCGCAACATTTTTTTTCAATGTTTTAATAAAAAACGTTGCGAAACGTTTTTCTGAAGATAAAGCTCAAGCCTAGCTTGGCTCGAGCCAGATTTTTAATGGCTTGGCTTAGTTCACTTTAGTTCGAGCCAAAATTTTTTATGGCTCGGCTCATTCTGGCTCAGGTCAGAATTTTTTTTTCGAGCCAAGCCAAGCCGGACTGTGGCTCAGCTCAAGCCAGCTCGTGCGGAACTTTAATTATACTATATAAAATGATAAGCAAAGTGTATTACATATGACGAATATGATTAATCGATAGATCCTGCTTCTATTGGTTGCAAGTAAGAAGAATCTTCATGATTATTATATAATATGATATACTACTATATTTTCTTAGTTCTTACCCAACTTATCAATTCAACCCTTACCATAGCATCGTAATTATAAATAGGCTATCATAGATTTTTTTTCCACCTTAATGGCATTTCAGAAATTGATCACATTACTTCTAATGTGTTTGGGTTATAGAGTAGTTTCCCATCTTTTTTCTAAACCTTTTCAAAGAGCTAAACCTTGTTTGGTTTGCAAAATGAGAATTATAAATTCATATACGATATTCCAATGTGGTCATACTTTTCACATTAGTTGTTGCAATTAGAGCTCCAAATGGATCAGATTAGATCAGATAATTGACTTGACTTGACCTAAGGCAAGTTATGACCCAACTTGAATATCACAGGTCAGTTCAGATACCCGATCTGATCTGTTAACCCGATATATTTTAGGTCAAAAAAACGTTTTAGCATTTTTTATATATCAAATTATAAGAAAAAATGCTGAACGTTTTTTTTTTTACAATTATTTTATGGAAAAAGTATGTGGCACCAAAATGTATTTTTTTTGTTTCTTCTAATGAAAAATGCCAGACCTGACATTTTTAAATTAAAGAAACTTTTTTTTATTTTTTTAAATGAAAAAACGTCAGGTTTGACGTTTTTTAATTAAAAAAACGATTTTTTTTTGTTTCTTTTATTTCTTTTAATAAAAAATGTCAGGTTTGACATTTTTTAATAAAAAAACATTTTTTTTGTTTCTTTTAATGAAAAAACGTTGAACTTGATGTTTTTTAATTAAAGAAACATTTTTTTTTGTTTTTTTTAATGAAAAAATGTCAAACCTAACATTTTTTAATTAAAAAAACTTTTTTTTTGTTTTTTTTTAATGAAAAAATGTTAAACCTGACATTTTTTATTAAAGAAATATTTTTTTATTTCTTTTAATAAAAAACGGCAGGTTCAACATTTTTTTAATTAAAAAAACAATTTTTTTTATTTCTTTTAATAAAAAATGTCAGGTTTGACATTTTTTAATTAAAGAAACAATTTTTTTTTGTTTCTTTTAATAAAAAATTTATTATAGATGCAATCATGTCCTATTATAATCACGCTTACTTACATATATAAATTTACAAAATATAAGATAAACAAATATATATAAGAATTAAGCATTATGAAACAAGACTACTTTTTAAAAAGAACAAGTCGACCTGTCACCTAAACGATCACATCATTGTTAAAAACCATGATGTGACCTCAAATTCAAAGGTGACTGTCATGATCTACCTAAAATTTGCTCAATGACCGCCTCGATGGAATGCTGAATCATTCCATTTATTCCAATTACTTTCTAACATCTTACAGCCAACATTTTTAACACCCACTTCAGTGCGATTACTATGTGACTTAGCTTTTTTATCTTTACTGCTAATACCGCACTGCTTTTCTTCCTTTATTTGTAACTCGTTCCTTGGTTCCCAAATAAGCACTTTGAATTCTAATAAAACTCTCCCAGTTATTTGTTTCAGTACCTTATACAACAATTTTTCTTCAATTATTTTATAGCACCTTAATAATTCTATTAACTGACAACTGACTTGATTCGTCATTAAAAATGTAAAATCATATAAACATCCAATATCCCACATAATAAGCTACACGTTATAAATAACGTGCATGTATGATTCTTTCTTTATTAAAAAAGCTGTATGTACATACTATCTAATATAGAATGATGAAGCGAGTATATAATTAATTCGTTAAAACTACTAAAAGAAGTCTATATATTTTTCTTTCTAACCAAATAGCCTTATGTAAATATTATCAGATAAGAAATGATTTAAAATCCAAAAATAATTATTCATTTTTTTTCTTTTGATAATTTGTTTCTTTGTAATTAGCCATCCCACAAAAGAAAATAGAAAAATAAAACAAGAATAACTAATTACTTATTCATACCTTCTTAACACCACGAGGCGCTCTTTATCTTACGAGCTCTTATTTCACATTGATCAATAACATACTTATAAGACAAGTTATAAACAAGTCTTTTGTTTCTAATTCCATTACGATATATTGACAGAGTTTTAACATCTCTAACACTATTCAACCCCCTATAAAATTCAGGCCTTGTAATCGGTGTTTCTCTATGTAATATTTCTTGCCAGGGAAGTACGTTATCCTGTTCTCTAATATCTAACTTTTGAAAATTTGTGGCAATATTATCAACCACAGTATTCTTACCAGCACTGGATGACTGTTCTGCTACCTTAATATCTTCATGTTCAAAAGCAGCTTCTTTTTTCTTTCTTAATTTGAGAAAATATTCACTGTTGAAAGAATGGTTAATAAAAATATCTTCTTTCAACATGTTGTATCTTAATCTACTTGTAACTTGGTCTAACAGAAACTCTAATTCCTTGTTTAATATATAATGTTTCTTAAGAATATCACATCTTCATTTCAATCGATGTTTGGAAACTATTGGCTTTAACTTAAATCCATTATTAGTGTAATTCCATTTATTCTTATTATTTTTGAGGCTATTCATAAACCTCTTTTTATACTTCTCTTGTTCTTTTATTGTTTTGAACTGTTTATTAATACCCAAATTCGAGTATGTAACTAAATAGTTACCTGTACCACTATCCATTGAAACCTTTTTTGTATAAGCAACGCCTATGCGTTTACTTACTATTTGTTTACTTTGACAATAATTTTTAAGTGTATTTGGCGTGGAAGGTGTAAGTGTTACTATCACCTTTGAATGACAATTTTGACATACTTTCCTATTGTTTGACATTACATAAGCACAGACATTACTACAAAATGAACATGAAATATAGAACTCCAAATACCATGTTCGTTTACCATAACTAAATTTAATATAAGTTGTAGTCTATCTATTCTTTTCTTGTTTTTTTAATCTATTTTCTATCGCTACAAGTTTATCTAATAATAATTGACGTATTTTATAAAAATACTTATTTCTAGCATTTAAATCAATAAGCAACCCACAAAGTACACTTGTCAAGTATTTTGAAATCCTGTATTTAGTATTCATAATAGCTCTATCAGAACTAATCTTAAACGGCTTATCATATTTCTTCACTATCTGTCTATTATTGTTAATAATCATCAATGTATCTTTCTCTTTCTGTAACGAATCCACATATATGTTGTGCCTCAGATCGATTCTTGCCTCAGATTGAAGCTCACGCACCTCACATTGAGATTGTCACCTGACGCACCTCATTTGAATCATTCAATAAAGTCTGTTATAAGTAAACTTTTTTTCTCATTAATTAAACCACTTTTTGTAACATAAACAAACTTGTGCGCCATAATGAGTTACATGTTTCCCGAAATTTTTATGTAAATCCGATTTATATTGAAGTTTATATTTGTGTTTTATCTGAAAAATCATTAAATTTTGAGTCATTTTTCAAATGAAAATATTTAATAAGTATGATTCCAATTAATCTGAAATTATAGGATTGTATACTTAAAATAATGATAAATAAGTTTACTTAGTACTTAAAAATATATTAAAATTGGAAAATTTGATGTTTAATTATAGCTCATTTATATTAGCAATTGAGGTACGTCAGATGACAATCTCAATTTGAGGTGCGTGAGCTTCAATCTGAGGCAAGAATCGATCTGAGGCACAACATATAAAAGGATGTAGGACTTTCCTTTTCAAGTAGAGTAGATTGTATCTGCCCCGTGTACTGTTTCACTTTTTTTGGATGGAAAAAAGTATAACCGACTAAAATTTCTTTATTCAGCATCTTGTATCTAATTGGTGCACTGTATTTACGCCTTCTTGTGAAGAAAACTTCGCAAGAAAACCACAAATTTTTTTCTACAAAGGACTAGTAAGCCCTTATGAACCTTTGCAAACTGAAAAGAGTGATAATAAAAAGTATGTTGGTTGAGACAAGGAACACTTTTATCTTAATACTGAATTGCTAATTTTCTAGTAAATTAACGAGAAAAAAGCGTATTATTTCTTATGTGAAAAATGGACGTGAACGGTACAGGGAAGAGTTTTTTCTTAATTAAAGAAATGATTTTTTTATTTCTTTTGATAAAAAATGTCAGGTTTGACGTTTTTTAATTAAAGAAACGATTTTTTTTGTTTTTTTTATTAATAAAAAACATCAGGTTTGACGTTTTTTAATAAAAAAATTTTTTTTATTTTTTTTAATTAAACACAACATTTTTAATAAAAAAAGATATTTTTGTAATTATTTTCAATGAAAAAACGTCTGATTCAGGTCAGTTTGGCATTTTTTATATATATAAAATGCTGAAATGTCTTTTGACCAAAATATGTCAGGTCAATGGGTCAGGTCAACCCGTCAGATCAAATTCAGAGCTCTAGTTGCAATGCATCTTCAGTCCATAAAGAGTGATGTTCAAAATGATAAAATAATGGTATCAAACAGTTTGAATAACTCAGTTGAAAAAATATGAGTAAAGAAGAAAAATTATTAGCTTTTTAATATATATGAAGTGTCAACTAAAGTAATGGAAATTGATAGCAATTTATCAGAACTGGGAAAACTTATAATGGAGGTCACTGTAATACCCGGCACACTAGTAAAATCCATTGAATTTTTTATATATACAATTTTTAATGAAACCAAAATGTGTAGATTAAACTTATCTGTTTAAGTTTAGAGTTAAATGCATGATTTATACACTCAATTTAGATTTTTATATATTCTGTGTAATACAAAAAGGTGGTTTGCATAATTAGTAAATTTTTTAAAAAGTGGTTCGCATTATTATAAAATTTTTTTCAGAAAATTTAATAATTTATGATTTATTTTATTTTTCAGACATTTCTGTATGATTTGTTAGATTTTTAGTTTAATTACTTAAGAAAAATTTTTATTAATTTAGGCAAAATCATCATTTTACTATTTTCTGGTGATCTTTATTATAAGTTTTCCCAGTCCTAATTTATCAGAAGTAATCTCTCACAGTGATTTTACAAAAATTATCTTAAAGAGTCAGCAAAGCCAATTTTAATGCCATCTATTGCTATTACGAATTTGATTTAGCACTAACTTTTCGTCTCAATAAATTAATATTTAATAGGGAAAGGACAGAAAAAAGCACAACATACTTTATTAAAAATGGCTATTTTTTTGAAATACTTTTATAATATTCTTATTATACTTTTGTAATACTGAACTTATTTTGTAATGGTTGAAATTGTTTTTATATACTTCGCAATTAATTACAAAGATTATATCACAAGGGCTAATAAAAGTATTACAAACTATAATTTCAAAACAATTTAAACATTATGTTGCAATAATGTTTGTAATTGATTTATTATTAATAATATAATTATAAATTGAAATTATTATGAAATTGTATTGCAATACTATTGCAATAGTTTATATATCTTAATATGAAATTGTTATGAAATTATATTGAAATAGTTGTAATAATATAAATCTAATCATTATTTTTATAATTGTACTATCTTTTTGTCAGATAGAGGGAGTAGTAATGGCTCTCCCTTATAGGTATTAATTGGCCTCTAACTGTTTACAGAGGCACTGGTCAAAATAAAAACTTTCGGTCATGTGATAAATCGGCTGATCTGTCACACATTTCGGCCAAATTTTGACATATATGAATTATTTAATCAAACGTTATGCATTACGCATTACACGTATTAAAAGTTTAAAAAAGGATCATCTTATACATTCTTTTTTAAACTTTTTTTAATTTTTTTCTTCCCCTCCCTTTTCTTTCCTTCGTTCCCTTTCCTATTTTCCCTTCTTTCCCTTTTCCTTCCTTCATTCTCCTTTTCCTTCCTTCCCTTTTTCTTCCTTCCCCTTTCCCCTTTCATTTTTTTTACTTTTTTTTTATAGGTTCAGCTTTTGGGTGGGCTTTTGAAGTACAGAAACTCCAAAGATTCGTAAATACGAATTCTTTGGAGTTTATTTTATTTTTTTTAATACGAATAGTTACTAACCGTTT